GCAACAGGAGCCAGTGTGTGGGGAAGTGAGGGCTGAGGCGGCTCCCTCCAGTCAGATCTGGAGAGGCAATCAACAGTTTCATCAGATTAAGAGCTCAGTGCCTTCCTGTGTCTCAACCTAGACTTCTGCATGGTCTGAGCACCTGCTAGTCGGCTGGGAGCCATGAGGGAAGCTGTGTCTCCCAAGAACACACTTTCCTGCTTTATAGGGGAAGCCCAATAGGAATAGAAGTATCTTAGGGCAACTGACTCCTTATTAAATGTCGAAGGATTGAACTACATCTACTCTGCTCTCTTGGAACATCCTGGGAGGCCCTAGCTGGCCCTGTACCTCTCTTCCAGAGAGTCAATTAGTCCTGGGAAAAAGGAAAAAAAGTGCTAGGTAGAGATCACAATGTAGGTAAAGTAGATTTGATGAGGAGGGAAACTCCATCCCCAGGCTCTGATCACAGTCACGGTGAATGGCCCCTTGAGAAAGACCACGACAATTTCTAAGTGAGAGAAAGTATTGCTTTTGTTGGCTGGCGAGTTGTAAAAGTGAAGGTGCTTGCCCACCTGTTTCATTTTCTTCTGTGTACCTCACCAACAGCATTCCAGTGGCTCTCACGGAGATCAAAAGCAAAGACATGTTTAGCTGACCCTCTCCAAGCCACACTGGCTCTTGTCCCAGTGATTTTCTTTCTAGGTCTTGTTCACGAGTATAGGTGTACGCCCTCTGAAAACACCTTCTCTTATCTTCCAGAACACCATACTTCCCTGGTCTTCCTTCCCCTTGAATGTTCACTCTCTCTCAGTCCCATTTACTGGCTCCTCCTCATTCCAACCTGTACTCTTTTTATTCATCTGGACTCAGTATCTTTGTGACCTCAGCTAAGTTCTGTGGCTTTAAATACCATAAAAAAAACAAAACAAAACAAAAAAAAAAAAAAACAGGCATGGTTGCACACACCTGTAATCCCAGCAACTCGGGAGACTGAGGCAAGAGAATTGCAAGTTTGAGGTCAGCCTGCACGATTTAGTGAGACCCTGACTTAAAATACAATGTAATTAATGGTGTGGAAGGCTAAGGCAGGAGGATCACAAGTTCAAAGCCAGCCTCAGCAACTTAGTRAGGCCCTAAGCAACTCAGCAAGGCCCTGTCTTTAAATGAAATATAAAAAAGGATTGGGGATGTAGCTCAGTGGTTAAGTGCCCCTGGGTTCAATCCTGGGTACCACAAAACAGATAGATAGATAGATAGATAGATAGATAGATAGATAGATAGATAGACAGACAGACAGACAGACAGACAGGCTAAATAAAGTGTAATAAAATGGAGACTGGAGTTGTAACTCCGTGGTGGAGTGCCCAGGGTTCAAACCATGCACCACAATACATAAATAGATAAGTAAATACCACTAAAAGCTGATAGCTACCCAATTACACTTCCTGACCTCACTCTTCCCCTAAGTCCAAACACATTTTCCCTCCTCTACTGGAATATCTAATTGTCACGTCAAACTTAACATATCCAAAACATGCCTTTTGGTCTTCTCCCACCAGTCTGCCCCTCCCTGAGTCCCCCCCATCTCAGTGACCGTGCCCCTCACTCCATCACTCTGATCCCTCCCTTTGCACTCCACAGCCCCTCCAGCCGTCCTGTCAGTCATAGGCTCAAGACGCACCCTGCACCCAGGCCCTCTCACTGCCTCGCCGCCCTGTCCAGCCCACGGCCATTCTCACCTGGGCCTCCCAGCGCCCTCCCAGCTAGTCTCCTTTGGGCTCCTTTGCCCCGCTCCTGCCCATCCATGCAGGTTTGAAGACTTACCTCAGACCTGCGACTCCTCTGCTCCATGGCTTACTACCTTTCTTGGACTACCAGCTGCAGTCTGACCCACCATGACCTGACCCATGTCACCTCACCTGGGCTTCCTCTCTCCAGTCACATGCATCCCATTATATCCCCATGGCAGGCAAGCCTATTCCTGCTTCAGGACCCTCCTTCTGTCTGGGATGATCTTCCCTCAGACCTCCAAAAGGTTGGGACCTCATCTTATTCAGTAAAAATGTTACCTCCCTTGAGTGGTCCCTCCTTCCCAAACCATCCTGCTTTTTTTTTTGGGGGGGGGGCTGGGATTTGAACCCAGGACCTCACACATGCTGGGCAAATGCTCTACTACGGAGCTCCCACCCAGCCCCCATCCTGCTTCTGAACATCGTCCCCCTACCCTGTCCTATTGTTCTGTATGGCAACCATCTCTAAATGAAATTGTGTATCTGTTTATTTATTCCTTTTATGTCTCCTTACCAAGAAAAGCAACATTATGAGACCATCTTCTTCCATCTTCTCCAGCATTGTGTTCTGGTGTCTGGCACCTGCCRTGTGCTCAGCAAATATATATATATWTTTTTCTTTTTTGAGGGGGGATGATTGGCAACCACTTTTTTAAAATTTTTTTCTTTGTTCTAATTAGTTATACATGAAAGTAGAATGCATTTTGACACATTCTACTGCTCAGCAAATATTTATTGAATTAATGAATTTGCTTCTTGTCAAATCTTAAAAAATTACTCTTTGTCAGGCCAACYATACAATGTCACATTAGGATTTTTTTATATAAGGTAAATGTAATTTTCCCTTTCTACCCATGTAAGCACAACTATTTTAGTATGGGGGAGGCCCTTAATGACTRTAGCTCCCCTCACCCATTTTAATATTGTCTTAGCTAATCTCAACATCAGGCTTCTGTGGGAGGTCATTTTGTGATCACCATAGTCCTCCTTTGGGGGTGGGGGCCCCTGGCCCTTCATCCTGCAGGCCCAGCTGTTCTCGAGATGCCCTACAGGACTGGGATGCGCATCCCTGGCATCCCTGGGACAGAGCAGAGAGAAAGGGGCTTAGGTTGAAGCTCTAGAGGATTCTCTTAGATCCCATTCATTAAACTCTCAGGCACTTCTTGAGCCTCTGATCTGTGTTAAAAACTGTGGTCATTCTGTGGCCATGAAAGACACAAAATAGGTGTCACTGTCCTGTTCCAAGGAATTCACAGCCTAGTGGGAGAGGAAAACATGCAAATGAATAAGGAGTCACACAGCGAGTACAGGTGGCCAGTGGAGAGGTCTCCTGGATCCCAGAAGGGAGAGGAACTGACCCTGCACAAGGGAACAGTGTGTGGGAACATGGGAACGTGTGGACACAAATGAGCCTTCCATGAGGTCAGAGCTCAGGGTATCTAGGAGGGAGCAAGGCAGGGCTTTGAGCAGCAGGAGGCAATGCAGAAAGGTAGGTGGAAAACAGAACCAGAGGGGTTCACTCTAGCTAGGGAATTGGAACTTTATGCCAAAGCTTTCATTAGAGCTCTGATTTGCTCATCTTTGTTTATTCATTCATTCTACCAATATATTTTGAGTACCTATTATATGCTAAGCATGGTGCTAGGCTCTGGGTGCACTGTATTAAATAGTCATTTTCTTTACTGTTATGGAGTCAGTAATCCATGCGACCCAAAGGAAGAAAGTTGTATGACAGTTCCTTCCCTGGAGAGCAATATGAAGAAAAACTATATGACGGCAAAAKAAATAATTCCTCAAGTGATAGGTATGAGGTATGTGTTTAAGCAAATCATGGTAATTCATATAATGGAACGTTATATAGACATWAAATTTTGGGGGGGAGGGTACTGGGGATTGAACTCAGGGGCACTTAACCACTGAGCCACATCCTCAGCCCCATTTTGTATTTTATTTAGAGACAGGGTCTCGTTGAGTTGCTTAGCGCCTCGCTTTGTGCCGAGGCTGGCTTTGAGCTCACGATCCTCCTGCCTCAGCCTCCTGAGCTGCTAGGATTATAGGCGTGCACCACCATGCCTAGCTTTATATAGACATTAAAATGAGGTTTATGAGCATTAAAAAAAATTCATTTTCCCTTTTTTTTTTCTTTTGGTACTGGAGATTGAATCCAGGGTGTTCTACCACTGAGCTACAACCCTAGTTCTTTTTATTTTTTATTTTGAAACAGATCTCACTTAGTTTCTTAGGCCCTTGCTAAGTTGCTGAGGCTAGCCTCAAACTCTCAATCCTCCTTCCTCAGTCTCCCAAGTCACTGGGATACAAGTGTGTGCCACCACATCCAGGTCCTTTAAAAATTTTTATTTTTTTATTTTGAGACAGGGTCTTGCCAAGTTGCCCAGGCTGCCTCGGTTTCCTGAGCCGCATCATGCATACACCACCATGCCTGGCTTTCATGTTCCTTGATAGCGTAGAAGAACTATTTTTGATGTGCTTTCTGGAAAAAGCAGGGTAAAATCTATATGCAGTGGTATATCTCCATGAAGAAAAACAAGCTTAAAAAGGACTAAACGTACCATGTTGTTAGTTATGGCTGCCTCTCGGCAGAGCAGTTCTCTATTTAGATTTTTTTTCTGTTCCCCAAAATATAAGCACATATTTACTTTATCAGTATAACATTTATTGTAAAAGGAAAAAGATGACRAAACAAGAAATGGAAGTGTGGGGGAGTGGGACAGATGCCTGTCCTCCGAATTGGATCAGGCATCAGCGTCCTTGGAGGGGTCACCTAGTGGGAGGCYTTTGTGCCTTAGGGTAGCTCCTTTAGGAACCGTGGCTGGCTTCTCAGTGCTCCTCCATGGAGGGACATCACGGCTGCCCCAGGGCGGGTCCTGTGCAGGACAGCTGTGCAGGACGGCCACCTGCAGCTGAAGGAGGCTTGGTCCGGTTAGCTGTTCTCCCCGAAGACCCTGTCTGGCATTGTGGCCTAGTACAAATTAGCCTGCGCTCCAGGGCGATCCTTTCCCTGGCTGTCCACCTCCCTGGAGGAGACTCTCCCAAGATGCTTTCAGAAAACAGGAYGAACAGGAGGATCCTGGCTCTAGGGGCAGCCGGAACCCCTTTGCGAAATAAAGACACACTCACCTCAACCTCCTGTTCTTCCTCTAACAGTCACCTCTTCCAATCCTGCGAGCAGTGGATATACATGTATATAAATATTTTTGTCTCTTTCAGGAAATGATCGAAATGGCCTAGATTTCAACAGACAGGTAAGAACTTGATTTATCCTATATAAATTTGGGGGGTTTCAGGTATGGGGAAAACAAAGACTAAGTAAGTTCAGAGGAGAATATTCACAGACACTTAGCTTTCRGGATTAAGGGATCCTGAATCCAGCCCCTTGCATCAACCATAATCAGATATTAGGCTCTCCTCTTAGAATTCCCTCCAGAGTTCTGAACAGTGGAGCAGCCACTTAGGGTGCATGCCACATGTAGTCCAGAAATCTAGGACAACAGTTCTTTCTGTCCAGGCTTGGCCTGATGGCCTCTTGGTGAGTCTGTTGGTGAGGGCTGACTACATGGAGAGGAATGTGTGGAGCTGCAAAGGACAGAGCGCCTAGCTGTCCTGGGGGCACTCCTGATTGGGAGCAAGTGATAGGGACCATGATAGGGAAACAGAGCCCAGAGGGAGCACGTAACCAGGCTGGGGACAAAACAGACACTGCATGCTGCCTTGGAAGGCAACTAAGGTGGGTGAGCCTAAACCTAGTTAGAGAGAGCTMGGGGCAGGGGGAGGTGGTGTTGGAAACCTCACAGGGCGGATGGAGGTGGATGGAGGAGGAGAAGGGTGAAGCCAAAGCAGAAGATTTGCCCTGGGGGTTTCAGGCTACCGAGGAGCCTGGGTGGGGGGGACTAGGACCAGGTGTGGTGTCCCAGCAGAGGGTGGGAAGGGGAAGAGTTTGCAGGGAGGAGAGAGTGTAAGCTGCTGCCAAGCAGAAAGCAGTAATGAGGGATCCCAGAGGAAGGAGGCGAGGATCAAGTACAGAGTCAGAAACCCTGGGCTTGGGTCCCATTTCTGCCACTAACTAGCTACATAACCTTGGCTTAATATTTTTTAGCCTGAGTTTTCTTGGCTGAAAAATTAATTTATTCCATCAATTACAGGAGAGGCACCTACGTTATTCCAGGTATGGGAATACAGAGAAAAATTAAGACATRGGTTCTATGCTGAAGGAGCCCAAAATCTAGCACCAGAAGAGGGTGGGCAAATATATGGGGAGAGGAGGCTGAGAGATTCTATTTCTTAAATTACAGATTCATCAAATTTTATTTAGTAATTTTTAAAAGTAYGATTATTAACATCTTTAGGTTATAAATTGATGGGAGTCACTGTGATGTTCTCGTGCATGCATAAATCCTATATTCCTTATGTCCCTCSACCTCTCTGATAGCCTCTGCTCCTCCCCACTCTCCCTGTCCTCTTTCTCCTTCCCTCGTAACCCCTCTTGTGCTTTCGGATCAATATTTTTTAAGTTTCCACATATGGGAGAGAACATGTACTACTTGTATTTTTGTGTTTGGCTGATTTAGTTTAACATGATGTCTTCCACTTCCATCCACTTTCCTACAAATGACCGGATTTCGTTCCTCTGTATGGTTAGTAATATTGCATTGTGAGAGACTTTTAGTGGCTAATTATAATACCATCATTTGTGTTCCTCCACGGGTAAAAAGTCAAACAGAAGTGGGAAGAGTTAGTTCTTCCTGGGAGCTCAGGGTGGGCTTTGTGGAGGAGATGGTATCTGAAGATGGCTCTGAGGGCTGAGTAGGGAGGGATTTGTCAGGCATAGAAGAATGGCATGGAGAAGACAGAGAGAGGTAAGGGAAGACCATCGCAATGCGGGGGTGCGTCAATCACTTGGGCTCCTTCCCTTCATGCTAGTTTTTTTTTTTTTTTTTTTTTTTGGATACCAAGGATTGAACTCAGGGGCACTTAGCCGCTGAGCCATATCCCAGCCCTATTTTTTATTTTATTTAGAGACAGGGTCTCACTGAGTTGTTCAGGGTCTTGCTAAATTGCTGAAACTGGCTTTGAACTCGCAATCCTCCCGTCTCAGCCTCCCAAACGGCTGAGATTATAGACGTGCACCACCAMATCGAGTCATGGTAATATTCTTTCTTTAAATTTTTTTTTTAAAGAGAGAGAGAGAGAGAATTTTTTAATATTTATTTTTTAGTTTTCGGCAGACACAATATCTTTGTATGTGGTGCTGAGGATTGAACCCGGGCGGCATGCATGCCAGGCGAGCGCGCTACCGCTTGAGCCACATCCCCAGCCCCGAGTCATGGTAATATTCTGAGTCCAGGTTTGGACAGAAGTGCAARATGGAGTAGCAGATCAAACACAGATATTAATTCGACATATTCTCCTCCTYCTTTATCTGTTGAGTAATCTGAAGTCACTAATAATGTTTCCTAAAAGGCCATTGATTCTGGGTACATCCTGCACAGTCAGAGAAGGGAATAATCTTGAGTTCTAAGCCCAAACATAGGCAGACAATGTGTGCCATTTTGTTCATCAGGAAGGCTAGGAAATTTGCCAACAAATAAAGACCAACTCTTCTCCCCCTCTACTTGAGACCTATAACAGAGATAGGCTTCACTAAAGAAAGATCTAGGTTAGCTATGAGGAAGGACTTCCAGGCAATGAAATTTATTAAACCCTGGAACAACTACCAAGGGAGGGAAACTGTAGAATTAGCTTCTCACTTAAGGTCTTTAAATGGGAGACAGATTCTTATCTAAGAGATGTTTTGGCCAGGTTTGCCTCGGGGGTGGAAGGATGCTGGAGATTTCCAGGTAATCTGTGATCCTGAAGGAGAGTGCCAAGTGGGTTGGGACCTGGGCTATGCCCTATGTACCCTGTCCTGAGGACTCAGGACCCCCAGCCCAGGGCCCACCTCTCATTCCCCTAGGCCTTGGCGGGAAGCATAGGGAGGAGACTCTCTATCCCACACCAACATGTGGCCACACCTGCCCTCCCAGAGGTGACCAGCTGCACAGGTCCAGTGGCTTTGGCAGCTTGTGTGATCCTTCTGAAGCTGGAGAAACCCTGGGGCTGGGGACCAGGCCAGGAGCAGCCTTTCTGGCCCTAGACTGACTCTGGAGCAGACTCACCTGAGTTCATTTCCCTTGGATGAGCCTTGGGGGTTGTCCCCCCACCTGAGAGGGGGGTGGAGTCCTCGTAGCTCACAAGAACAGACCCAGCAGATCTGTCCTTTGGAAGGAGTTTGGGGGAGAGACTAGTCATGCTCTTCTCTGCACCCAATCACATCTGCAGCCTCTCTCAGGCTCCGCCTCCTCCCTCTGTCTGTCCCTGGAGGTCATCARATCCAACACCCACATGCTCACCTTCAGACCAGCTCACCTACAGGCTTACAGGTGGGCACTGGGCCTCTCCTTGGGAGTCTTGCCCTCATGTTTCACAGCAAAGGAAGTCAACCTACGTTTGCTGAGCACCGGGCTCTGGGCAAGGTGCTTTGAGCACTGTAATCTCATTTCTCTTTTACTGTGAACCAGTGAGGTAACTATATGTTACTATCCCTGTTTTACAGGTGAGGAAACTGCCTCCCAGGCAGCCTCTCAGCAAGTTTTAAAGATGAAATGACTTGATGAAGGTCACACAGTTGGTCAACTGGCTGGGTCAGGATTTGAACCCACATCTCTGAACSGTGGAGCCCATTTTTCCCATGATGCCTTGCTGCATCCTCCTCTGCAGTCTCTCAGCCTCCCTCTCCCTTTACACACACACAGCTCCTGGGGAGAGGCCTGGGAGTCAGACACTGAGTGTGACTTCACTGTGACTAAGTAGGAAGAAACGAGGAGAGGGAGTAGGGAGGGGAAGAAAGCACCATTGTGGAGGAACAGCCTCTGTGTCAGACACAGACGAGGGGTTGGCAAATGCGGGGAGCCAAAGAAGAGCCACTGCCCTTGGTGAGGCTCCCATCGAGAGCTGCAGCCGGGGCGGGGTCAACTACAGTCCCCAGGTTGTGCGGCTGTGGCTCATCCAACCTTCATGGCCCTTCCAAGCTGAGCCTTTAGCTTCTTCCTGGTTCCAGGAAGAGCCTGAGCTTGTTCTGGGGACAATTGTGGTGAGGCAGAAGGATCCAGAAGCAGGGCTACCCCTTAGCCTCCAGGGCGGGTAAGGCAGAGTGGAGCGGCAACAGTCTCCTGGGTGGAGACTCAGATCTCGTGGCTTCCAGGGCTGTCTGCCCCTCACAGTCKCTGTACTTATGTAGACCTCTTCTTTCTGGGTCTCAATTTCCTCATGAATAAAAGGAGGATGTTTGGATGAGATGATCCCTAAGACCCTTACAGTCTGTGTGYCATGGTGCCATCTTATCCCTCCTGCCACGTTCTGACTGATGAGTTGGACTCTGACTTCCACTCACCTTTTATTTATTTTTTTCTTGAAGGAGAAATGTGGAAGAGGATCACTCTGATCTGTAGAAAGGGAGGGGAGAAAGCTGGGTGCTGTGGTGCACACTTGTAATMTCAGGGACTCAGGAGGCTGAGGCTGAAGGATCACAAGGTTGAGGCCAGCCTGGACAACCTCCTGAGACTCTGTGCCAAATTAAAAAATAAAAAGGGCTGGGAATGTAGCTCAGTAGTAGAGTATTTCTGGTTCAGTGTCTACTACTTCAAAGAAGAGAGAGAGAGATAGAGAGAAAGAAATAGAGAGAAAAATGAGGGGAAATAGTGTCAAGGCCACATTTCCAGCATTTAGGATCAYGTGTGATCCAGTGAAAAGCACCATTTGAAATGTTGGAGTAAAGACACAGCAGGCCACATCTGGGGCCATCCACTTATTCCTTGAATATTTATCCATTCTTTCTTGCTAAATGGACAGTGTTATTTGTAAGATAAACTGCAATATATACACAGTGAATTCTATAAGAGACCTAAGAATACAGAGCTCTGGGGTGCTGCCTAAGGACATCATAAAATTAGTGGTGTTGCCAAAAGCTTGGTCCTTGTCCTGGATGCCAATCCAGTAACGAGGACATGGTTTTGAGAAAAAGGAAGAAGAAAATTTATTACTTTGCTAGCAAAGGAGAAGCACAGGGGTCTCCTGTCCCAGAGACTGTGATTCTGCCCATTAACAGGAACAGGGAGCTTTYATAGAGGTGATTCAAAGGCTGCTTTCCACATGCTCTCTGTTGGAGTTGTAATCCACTTGTTAATTTGGGAGAAAGTCATTTCTGAGA